TTTGGAACAATTTGTCACGGCGCAATGGCTACGCTGATTCGCAATATTGAAGTCCCAGGAGTGGTTTTCCGGCACGATTCAAGACCGCCAAGACGTCACAGTCAGGTTCGTCTGTGGCGTTGAAGTCCTGAGAATGGTGTTGTGGCACGAGTCAGGATCTTCACACGGTTGTCCCCCAACTGGGCAATTCCCCCAGTGGAAATGAACCCTTGTAGGGGCCCATGAAGAGGGAGTCTGGAAGGAGGGTGTATTCCAAATCGGCGCGCATATCGTGTTTGATTAAACGTCACGAACCGGACGCTGCTGCATTCCACTCTTTCACGTTGTGCTCGGTACGGTTCTGTTCTACGAGCATGTCGTGTATTATTGTGGCCAGCCTGACGTCGGCTTGCATGTTGAGTTTGGTATGGCGTTGTTAACTGATCGCTGCTAGATTATACTGTCTCCCATGACCTTCAAGTCACTTACGATCCAATACATGCTACTGTTTTGCGATGTGTTCTCACGCGTGTCACGTGTAATAGGTCGTCCAATCAGCCAACTTTACCTTGGCAAGCACGTCACCCTTGAAGCGGCTATGATACTCGTTCGCCGGTGTGTTCTTCTTGCCATGGTCACTTATGCCGTGAATACATCAGATAACGCACGCAGTGTATGTTATAATATGCTCTGGGATGCTATGGTACAACATGTCATGCTATGTTGTGTGGCGTTCAACGGCAGCGTCATACTCTACACGATCTACGCACACAGATAACAGTGCAGCGCTTGCTCTGTCATAATGCTATCGTTCGTGATCGAACAAGTTTCACAGGTTCGATTATAGGCGTGGTATTTTGTGAGATTCAAGACTACAACCAGATTCGCATTTTTACTGGATGTTGTTGTGATAGTGCAATATATATATATATATACATATATATAGATGTATCGATAAATTCTGAGTTGTGCTATGGTTTACATGCTCATGAGACATGTGTTGTGTTTGCTTATGTCGTTGGTATCAGTTGCGCTGGTATGCTATGGTCATACCCTTACATCCAATTGCCCCCAAATCAAATACGTAAGACTGCTTTCAACTTGTACCTGTTCTGCACCAGTCAACATGGCGGTCGCTACACGAAGGCCCATGCGAGTCGGGGCCCGACCACGCGCCGCGGCATCGGGAACACCATTCCACAACGCAGAATAGACTGCGCGCAAAAGCTGCATCGAATCAAAAGTTGGGCAACGCGAGAATTCTCCGAAATTTCGCCTTGGGGGCTGCTCAGCCCGATCCTTTACGAACCAGCCGAGTTGCCGCAGAGGTGGCATCACCAGAATCACGGGTCGCACGACATGATGGGCCTGTTTCCCACCACCACCACCACAAGTTGGAGGGGGAGGGGGTCCTCCTCCTCCTCCTCCTCCTCCTCCTCCTCCTCCTCCTCCTCCTCCTCCTCCTCCTCCTCCTCCTCCTTCCGCATCCTCCTCCTCTCCGTCCTCCTCCTCCTCCTCCCCGTCCTCCTTTTCCTCCTCCTCCTCCGTCCTCCTCCTCCTCTCCGTCCTCCTCCTCCTCGTCCTCCTCCTCCTTCCCCCCATCCAACTTATGGCGGTGGCGGTGGAAAACAGGCCCATCACGACAAGCTCACAGCGGATGCGAGACGAGTGGGCGGCAGTCACCAAGCATCACCTCGACGAGCGGTCCAGGTGAGGCAGCGACGGCTATCCCGCCCGGCGGCCCCCGACCCCTCATCCGGACCCGCTTTCCGAGGCGGATCTGGCTATGGCGACGAGAAGCCTCCCGAAGGCCGCCCAAAGAGGACGGCGAGCGTCAGGAAGCGCCGCCACCGTCTCGACTGGCCCTCCCCTCGGGCATTCGTTCACGGGGGGGCACTAAACTTGGAGTGAAGAAGCGTGCACCCTTCGTTCATCCTTTGGGCCCGCGGTGGCAGTTCACGGGGCCCCTTTGAGGCCACTTTCCTGCAATCCTCAATCCCCCTCACGTTTTTTGCCCCCCCCTGTTGCCGTCCACCCGATCCTCCGACAACACGTTCCCTCTCGTGACTGGGTAAACCAACAGGTACCGATACCGCTACTCCCCGTACCTCTCCTGGAGTGCGTTCTGACCAGGATTTCGAGGAGCATCCAGCGGTGGCATCGAGGGCCGTCCAGGAGGCCCAAAAACAGAGAAAAAACAAGAGAACGGCAGCGGTAGAGGTACCGTTTCCTCCTCTGAGTGACCGCAGCGCCGGTGATCACACGCGGGACTGGGCATCGTTTAACCGACCCCTATCCCTATGAACGTGGCCTGGGCCCAATGGCCGATTGACCTCCTAGACGGGGACGTAGGCCGTTTCATTCGGGTTTCGAGGTGTGTGTCCCCAACTGGGGTGCAAGGATGCTGGGGGTCTGGATGGGGATGGGGATAGGGGATGGGGATTGGTTAAACGATACCGAAGAACGCTGGCCCCTAAGCTCAGGGAGCGGCCGTGGTGAAGGGGTAGGCGGCAATCTTTGCCTGCGGCGGCAAGGGCGCGCCGCTGCCCCTCGTGCTGCCGCTACTCCTCGCTACCTCCGCCACGGCTGCTGCTCGTCTCCCGCCTCCTACATCTTCACTCTGTCCTGATCCTCCTACGTCCCTCCTCCTGCTCGTGCAACCCTCCTCCCCCTCGTCCTCCTCCTCCTCCTCCTCCATCTCCTCCTCTTCCACTGGATGACGCCAACCAAATACTGGCACCGGCTCGGTACACGCTTCAGTGTGTGCTGCCACGCGCGGAAGCGTGCAATGTCGAACTCCTCCAGGCACCAAGCAAACAAGCTAGGAGGAAGGGGCGCCGAGACGGAGGGAGGGAAGAGACTCAACTGGAGCAGGCGCTAGCGCAGTCCGGAGGGCATCCCGTGAGAGGAGCGGCGGGTGCGCTGGGGCGGCCTGGCCGGCTCCGTGAACTGAGAGTGTCGTGAGGGGGGGGGGCGTGGGGGAAGGGAGGGGGGAATAGCGAGGACCCAGCAGAGGATGTGGGAGCGGAAGGCCAACGTCCCTCCTCCTCCTCCTCCTCCTCCTCCTCCTCCTCCCCCTCCTCCTCGTCCCCCTCCTCCTCCTTCCCTCATCCTCCCTCGACCTCCCCCTTCCCCGACGTCGTCGTCGTCGTCGTCGTCGTCGTGGTCGTCGTCGTCCTTTTCCTCCTCCCCTCCTCCCCCTCCTCCTCCTCCCTCCTCCTCCTCCTCCTCTCCTCCTCCTCCTCCTCCTCATCCTCCTCCTCCTCCTCCTCCTCCTCCTCCTCCTCCTCCTCCTCCTCCTCCTCCTCCTCCTCCTCCTCCATCGTCCGACCAAGACTTGCTCAAAATATGTCCCCTGGCCCATCCTGGGGTCCGTTCTGGTGGGCGTCCCATCCCCGATCGATGCTTGACGGTCTCCGACCGTTGCTTGACGGGCAGCCCATCCCCGATCTGTAGCAGCGCACGTGTGAGTCAGCGCGTCCCTGCTTCGACGGTTGTTTGTCATCGGCAGAATCTCCGCCCCGACGAATACTGAACTGTGGACCGCGCTGTTCCAGACAGGGAACATGGAGGCCACTACAGTCAAAACTGATAGAAAGGATTCGCGGTAAGGATGCAAGCCCCTTTGGACGCCCACATCGAAGCTGTTCAAGCAGGGCTTGTCATCGAAAGTGGCCAAGGATGAACCGAAAAGACACGATGTGCGGGCACCCATGTACCATTGGGAAGGCTACCCATCCTTATCGTCGGTTTCGACTGTAGTTTGGGCGCACATTGGCGGCGCGCGGAAAGGGGTAGGGGGGGAGTGGGCAAGGCCTTCTTAGAAGGAGGCTGCCTTTTGGAAGGCGCGGGCCCTACACCTGTAGACAAGGCCCGCGCGCCCTCTGAGAAGCAGGGGTGCCTCCAAGAAGCCTCCGCCCACTCCCCCATAACCCCCCTCCGCCCGTGGCCGGCCTGGGCGCAGGAGAGCACCCCCCATCAGAACCTGCAGACGAGGGCCGCGCGCCTTCTGAGAAACAGGGGTGCTCCTAAGGAGCCTTCGGCCCCCCCATCCCCCTGGCCCCCCTCTGGCCTCTGCGCGTGGCCTCCCTCCTCCCCCCTCCTCCCTCCTCCCTCGGCCATCCCGCGGTCCACCCTGACCTGTCTCCCGAGCCGCGCCCGGCCGTGGCCTGGCCGGCCGCGCCGGGGCGGCTAGAGCCGAGCCGGCAGGAACCGGATCGGAGCGAGCAGAGCCAGAGTCGATGCGGGGCACAGGAGGACGTACTGATACGACGCGTTCCTGGTGGAGGCGACGTCTGCGCGCCTCCGAAGGAACGGGGGTGCTTCTGAGAAGCCTTCGCCCCCCTCTCCCTCTCTGCGCGTGGCCGACCGTCCCCACCCTAGCCCAGACCCCGACGTCGTGACTTTTTTGACAGCGTCGGCCCCCAGAGGTCTCGACCCCTTCCCTGGGACTGGTCTGCATCCTGAGACGTTGTTCGACGGTCCCGAGGCCCGGTGAGGACCCCCCTGGGGAAACCAAAAGGCACCGACACCGCTACTCCCCGGACCTCTCCCTGGGTGCGTTCTGACCAGACTTTCGAGGCGACTCCGGCGGTGGCGACGAGGGCTCCCGAGGAGGCCCAAACAAGGGGAAAACGATGAGAGGGTAGAGGCATGGCTACCTCTTCCTCCTCCGATCCTCCTGACACGTCGTTCGACGGCCCCGAGGGAGGACGGAGGAGGAGGAGGGAGGGTGGAGGAGGAGGAGGAGGGGGGAGGGAGGAGGAGGAGGAGGAGGCGGCGGAGGAGGAGGAGGAGGAGGCGGAGGAGGAGGAGGAGGAGGAGGAGGAGGAGGAAGAGGAGGAGGAGGAGGAGGAGGAGGAGGAGGAGGAGGCCCGGTGAGGACCCCCCTCTGCGCGCCGCCGAGCACGGGCGGGGCCGCCCGCGCCTCGCCCCGCGGGCCGGCGGCCCGGGGCGCGGGCACGTCGGATCGACGGGGGCGCGCTCGATCCTCCGCCCCTCCGGCGCCCGCTTGGACGCCCGAGAGGGGTACGGAAAAAATCGGGAGCGGCCAAGAGGGGGGTGTCCAAGAGGGCGGAGTGCAAATCATGACCGGCGGCATGTGCGCGGCCCAGCGGGGGGGCCAGGAACGTAATGAAATAAGAAGAGGCGCCCAGAAATCTGGGGAAATGTCATGGCCCACGCCATGATATCCACCCCCCCATAGTCATCACCCCCCTCTTTACCGCCCCCGAAAAAATGGGCACAATGCCCAGCAACAAATGTTGTCCCAAACCAACAGCGGCCGCTGCTGGGCAGGCGGCCTTCTGTCTCAAGTGTACACAGGCCGCAGCGACACCGACAGCAAGTCCCGTTCAAAATGAACAGGAACCGCTGCTGGGGCACTTTCCGTACCCATGTCGTTCGTGCCGAGCCCGCCCGCCCGCCCCTGGAAGGCGAGGCAAGCTGCAAGGGGGGCCCCGCCCCTCCTCGAAGAGGGGGTCCCGCCTTTCCGCCGCCCTCCCAGCCTTTTTGGAAGACGAGGCCCCCCCGCCTCCCTCCCGCCCCCCCTCGTTGGTGGGACCTGGAGGGGGGTCCCGCTGAAAAAGGGGATGTTTGGGGGCAGTTGTGTTGGAAAAAAACTGCGCCGAAAGCTTGTATCGCATGGTATTGCAACGAATGCGCTGCACGCCAAAAACTCAGCAATACATTTGCGCACCGGAATGCCTTGCACACCCCAAACCCCATTGCAACCCCACAAATCATTCGAATCAAATCTGTTGCACCACCCTCTTTTCACTGGACCCCGAACGAGGGCAAAGTCAAGTGATGATAAACCGAGACTCTCTGAGCTCCGGCAGTTCTGGATGATCTATCGGGCGTCGCGGCCTTCTCAGAGCGTTCCGGAACGCTCCGAGAGCGTTTTGGAACGCTCTGGAACGGTTCCATCCTAGTCCTGGCCCCGTCCGATCCTTCCTCCTGTCCCCACCCCTGCCCACGAATCAGCGGTCCTCGGCATCGTCCTTGGCCCCGCACGCTGCAGAAAGTTTGTCTAGAAGGTAATGGTCAGGCGACATATTTGTTCCACGTGAATTTCACGACTGCTACCTCGGCTCTGTCCGCGGCGGCTAGGACACACGTTCCTTGGCCGCCGCGCCAGCATTGCAGCCGATCTGTCGTAGAGACACGGCGTTTCAGTTCAGGAGCCTACAAACAACATCCCTATGCCAACAACTGCGATCAAACATCCAGATCGATTTATCCAGGAATTTGTTGGCATGTTTCCCCTTTCAGCACCGAAGAGATCCAAAATCATCCATGCGGCGTCGTGCAGAGAGGCGCTCTACAGTCGCAAAATGAAAACAAAAACGTGAATCTAGAATTTTAGCGCCTTCCTCAAAGGCCCAGATCCCCGTGGAGATACACAGACGTGGAGGAGTCCGAGGCGAATATTACCAACACGAAGCACTGAAGGTTACCCTTCCAAAGCTAGGGTTGTTGGTATCCCTCGCTCGGGAGATGCCCCAAAGTGTTACTGGTCCAGGCTGTCCCCATCTTCCCTCACCATTTGGGGGCCCCGGGTGCTCTGGAGACCACCTCAGGGACGAAAACCAACGGCTCTTACAGGAGACAACCTAGCGACCTTACGCAATAGCTTACGCGGGCCGCCAACGCGACTAGCTACTTTGGAGACGAGGGCGCGCACGCGCGTCCTTACGCGGGCAGCTTACGCACCCATGCTGGTGAAGACGAACCCGTATTCCTTCGTCAATCACCTGGGCCTCCTAGGAAATCCTGGGGCCCCCTGTTAGCGGCGCGCACAAGGGGGTAAGAGGAGGGGGGAAGGCTTCTTAGAAGGAGGCTGCTTCTTAGACGGCGCGGGGCTTACACCTATAGACAAGGCCCGCGCCTCCTAAAAAGCAGGGATACCTCTAAGACGCCTTCGCCCCTCCCCCTACGTACCCCCTCTGCCCCCCCTGGCCGACCTGGGCGTAGATCATCAACCCCTATCAAAAAGCGAAAGCATCGACAGAAGCAAGACCAGGCGGGCAGAACACTTGTTTTCCCTGCGATCTTGCACTCGCTCCGCTTGCTTACACGTCTTCTGCATGCATTCTGCGCGTCCTCGCTGTAAATAGGACGGTGTGGGCAGGTGCAGGATCCAGAGAGGAAGCCAGACGAATTCATGCACCCGAAGGAACCCTCTACCTGTCTTCGTACGCCCCCATGGTGGCGCGCGCGGGCACCTTCGGAGCAGCAGCGCCTACGCGCCTCCTACCTCTGCATGGGATGCGTGCAACTGGCTGAAATTGCGGCGAAGATCCGCCGTCTCTGTCGGCGTGTGGAACACGCTGTTCTGCTTGACCCGTCGTCCGTCATCGTAGTCGTCGTTGTCGTCGTCGTCCTTGTCGTTGCTCGTCGCCGCCCCCCCTCCTCCACTGGGCCCTCCTCCTCAAGCGAGCCAGCCAACGCGAAACCTAAGCGAAATTGCGCAACGTCGTCGTTGAGTCGAAAGGAAGTCCGTTCCCTTTGATCCGTTCA